TACATGCTTTGATCTGTTCGTTCCAAAGCAGGGAGCTATGGGTAATAACCCCCAAATCTTTTTCCTGTGCAGATACTTCAAGTTCTATACCATTTACCTTATAATTCCTGTTTGATTCTGTTTGATTCTGTTTGATTCTGTTGATCAACATGATGAATTAACCATTGAATGTAATGAGGTAACTTTCACAATCAAGGAGTGCAAAGAGACAAAATATCTTGGCCTCATTCTAGATAGTAAATTAAACTTCAAAAGCCATGTAGATTATATTATTAAGAAGGTCATGAAGAGAATTGGTGCCATGTATAGAAGTAAAGCACTGCTACCCATTAAATATAGGAAAATGTTTGCCAATGCACTCATGTTGCCACAATTCGATTATTTAGACACAATCTATTGTAGAGCTGGCAAGACAAAACTTGCTGAACTTGACACTCTGTACAAAAAGGTAGCCAAAATAGCTCTCAACGTTCCACAAACAGAGAGCAGCCTTAATGTTTATAGAGACATGAAATGGTTACCACTCCATCTTAGACGACAACTCCATCTGTCAAATTATATGTTTAGAATCATCCATGACAATTGTCCTACAAACTTTATGAACAAATTTAGTTACATATCAGGAGGTAGTAGGAGCGGCGAAAGCTGCAACCTATATGTTAATAGATCAACATCACATAAAAACTTTCAATACTTGGGGGCAAAATGTTGGAATAATGTTCCAACAGATCTACGAAATCTGCCCGATGTTAAAAGCTTTAGTGATTCGTATAAGAAACAGCTACTCTCATCTATAACAACAGACCCTAATTATACCGTCGACAATTCATATGACAAATTTTACACTGCAATCATAGTCGACGATAACTAAGTATCTTCTAATTCTTTTAAATCTGAGGCATATTATATAATTGATGTATCGAAAGGATTTTCCCTTTTTTACCACCTTACCATTTTGATTGATTTTGCACATGACTGACATGTTTTAACCGGAGAAAGGGTTCGCACAGTGGTAGTTTTATAAACCACTTTTAATTTATTGACCTATTATACCTAGTGGTAGTTTTATAGACCACATTTAATTTATTTACTTATTATACTTAGTATTTATTTTTGGTGACTGTATCACCCAGTTTTAACATTTGATAATTGTACAGTTTATTGACGACACATTGACTGAATGTTATTTTATATTCTAATTTATATTCTAGATATTTTATTTATTTTTCAACAGACGACAACTTCCTGTTTTTTCTTCTATATTAGTTACTCATATCTCTTTTACAGACTTTTTTACAAGGACATTGACAGATGATACTCACATTAGGCATTCATTATTGCATCTAAATTATTTCACTTGCATTAGGTTTAGAAATTTATTCTCTGGTTAACAGATTTCAAATGTTTAATTAATTTGTAGTATGACAGTAAGGTATATAAGAAGTTATTTAATTTTGCTTGGGCTATTATATTGACTATTGAGGTTTAATGATGATATGGAATTTGAATTCTATATAAATTTACACTATGTGGTTGGGGCATTTTGCATAGTAAATATGGTTACTACTCCTATATATCATATTATTTGATTGGTATTCGATTTCTGATTATTTCTCTAGGAATATGATTATTATATCTCAATTTGGCTTTAGGTAGGGTGCCCCGCTAAAAGAACTGGATTCTTCCAGGAAGCATCCCGTGCACAGACCTTGGTCTACATATATATTAAATTATTAACCATTCATTCTGTATGTGCACGAAAATTTATTTCAATCAATCAATAATTTAAATTAGGATTGTTGTTAAAATTAATGTGCACTACTTTGCACTTGGCAGGATTAAATTGTAAAAGCCAAATACTTTCCCAAACTTCTAATTCTTCGATATCTTCAGCAACACTACCGTGGTTAGCTGCATTACCAATTAATTTAAGATCATCAGCAAATAACTTTATCTTATTTTTTACAAGGTCAGGCAAATCATTAATATACAGAATGAATAGGAGAGGGCCTAGAACTGACCCCTGAGGAACACCAGATAAAACATGTTTAACCTCGGACCATTGTCCTTCTACAGAAACCCTCATAGTCCTGTCTGTAAGAAAATCTTTAATAACATCCAAAACCTTTCCTTTGACACCAAAGCCTTCCAATTTAGACAGAAGTCTAAAGTGGGGGACTGTGTCGAATGCCTTACTAAAATCAAAGTATAGAAGATCAACCGGGGCACCTTCATCTAAAATGTCAAGAATGTCATCAAATGTCTCTAAAAGATTAGATAAACACGATTTACCCTTAACAAATCCATGCTGATGCTTCGAAATTCGATGTTCTAGAAAATTTAATACATGTGCTCTCACCAACTTTTCATACACTTTGCACAAAATACACGTTAATGAAACTGGTCTATAATTTAAGGGGTCCGATTTAATACCCTTTTTAAACAATGCTACAACAGATGCAGATTTCCACACTGCAGGTAAAGATCCTGTATCTGAACACTTTTGAAATAATTTAGTTAATGCTTCAACAAAATTGTTGTCATTAACTAGCGATTTCAACAACTTCGGATGAACACCATCCGGACCAGAACTCTTAAAAATGTTAAGCTTTAAAAGTTGCTTTTTTATATCAGAACTGCTGACTTCCATATCATCAATATCATCAATACTCTCATTGTCAGGTCTTAAATTCTCAGTTTTAGGGAGAGGGCCAGGTGGTTCACGCACAAAAACAGAGCTAAAGGCACTTGCGAGTACCTCAGCTGACTCAGTTGAACTATCTGTGCGTGTACCATCTCCTCTATCTAAAGAAACCACACTTGATTTGATTTGACGTTTATTTCGTAAATAAGAGTAAAAAGACTTACAATTCTGCTTTAGATTAGATGTAATTTTCTTTTCATAGTTAACTTTAGCTTTAATTTCTGCTAGTTCATAAGTATGTTGTTTGCTACTTGCATAACTAAAATTAACATCAGATGGATTAATATCAAACTCAGCCCATGCTTTATCTTTATTCTTTCTCATTCGTTTCAGTGCAGATGTACTCCATGGCAACTTGACAGGTCTGTTGTCGAGATAAACTGAAGCAGTCAGAACAGCTGCAGCAACAGTCTCCAGTTTACCATGTAATTCAGCCCACATATCTTGAACATCATTGGTAGAACTATAATCCCAGTCGATATTTTTCAAACTAAAATTTAATAACTCTTCAGAGGAAATCTTACCCCATATAGGTTTGATAATCTTCTCTTTTAAACATTTGCTAGTATCCGGCGAAACAACTAGTTCGACAAGTATCCCAACATGATCACTCTTACCAAGCGGAGAAACGATATTACAACCGTTGACAAGAGCATCATTTGTATACAGGACCTGATCAAGAAGACTCTCCTGGAGAGTATCCTTCACAAGCCGTCTTCTAGTTGTCTCGTTGGTGAAATACCAAGTTAAACCACTGTCATTGAAAACATCCATGAATTTCTGTTGAGTAACTAAAAACTGGTTCTTGCTAGCAATATTACTATTTATGCTACCAGTTTCCATAAAACATTTGGTAAATTAAAATCTCCTAAAAGGAGTGTTTCAAAATCATTCCTTTCACTACAGATGCTCTTGATACAAGATATTAACGCATTATTCTGTTCTAAATTCAATGAAGTGGATCTGTAAATACAACAAATACTAATCAGTCCACCTGATGTGTTGATATTAACAGCTAATGAATCCGGTGCCTTTAAAAAAGAGTTCACTAGTGAAGCATTACAACAGTTTTTAACATAAATTATAGAGCCTCCTCCACCACTTATACTGCCAGTGGAATTGTCAATTCTAAAATCTCTATCTTTTCTAAACATACTAAATCCTTCAATATAAATTTCGGCATCTAATATATCACTACTAAAATGAGTTTCTGTTACACAAATTACCTCAATAGATTTATACATTGATAAAATACATTTTAGTTCATCAATTTTATTAAATAGGCCGTTAGCATTGGTATAAAAAATATTTAACGGCTGGGCACTGCGGCCTCCGCTTTGTCCTCTGTCTTTTCTGGCTCTCTTTTCTTTGCTTCCTCCTTCGTCTTCTCTGTCTCTCTTTTTTTCGCTTCCTCCTGCCTCTTCTTCCTCTCCTTTCTGGCTAAAAAACGAATATCTCTGTCTGCCTTGCAGAGGTCCAAGTTGATCCAATAAGTTGACTCTTTCCAGCCCTTACCATGGTCAGCGTAGAAATTTACTGACTCTTCATCTCGTGTCTGAATGATGAGCGGGCGACGGTGATCTGGCTTGTCAGCATCAAGCTTGCCAGAGCGATGGCAACTTATCATGTCGTCCTTCTTAATCTTTAGGGTCTCCCTGCAGAACTTGGAGTCGTCCTCCTGGCGTTGCTTAGAGGTAGTCTTTTTGCTCTCTGGAACCTTGAGCACACACAGATTGAGTTTTCGTTTGTTTCGCTCAAATGTATCAGTGTGCATCTTCATTTGCACTTCCGAAATAACAGTTTCAGAAGCTTGTTCACGACTCATGTCATCGAGAACCTTCTTCTGGGTTTGTGCTGTTACCTCAGAATAGAGACGAACAGCTTTATCAACTGTTTTCTCTGCGCTTCCTTTAATAGCTTCCTTAATCGAGTTAGTCAGGGCTGGGGTCAAATGTTGGAGTTCCTCTTTAATAATAGCCCTGACAGCCCCGTTTTCCTTAGTGTCAGCTGAGGTATGAGGCGCCACAAAACAGTATGGGCACTTCCAGTTTGTTAGATTCAGTAACATCTCGTTCTTAAGGCCAGATAAACCAACACAACTCAGGTGCCAAAATAATTGGCAAGCTTCACATTCAACTGATAGTTCTTCTGACATGTAAACATCACATTGGCAGTATTTTTCCTCTGGCACTGGGACATTATCAGAAGATGAATCCTTAGGGGGACTCGTCTTGACTCCACGTTTTTTTCGTATCGACACCCTCTCGGGTACATTGTTACTTGCCATCCCTGAACTCAAATTATTTGTTATATAGTAGTGTTGAAAGTATTAAAACTGGATGAAGTTTTAGTTTTAGGACAGGAAGAAGGCATTAAGAAGATTTGCTCTTTGTTTACAAGGCAGAATATAAGCAATGTTGGTTATAATATGTATCAATATCTAGATCTTCGTTTATCAATTTTCACTAAATGGGTTTAAAATTTTAATAGGGAGGGAAATTCATCAACTTTATTAAGTACCTATCAAAAATAAATCTTATATCAATGTAATATATTAAAAATCATAATCCTAAGTCTAATACTAAATCTGTTAAAAACACTTTCTCACTACACTGCGCTCACACACGTTAGTAAGACAAAGGAAAATGCACACCCAGCTAATTTTCAATTTCAAGATAATCATTTTGGATGTGTGGACCCTAGGGTAGACTTAATGTCAAAATTTAGATTAGAGCATTCGAAATCTTTGTTTGTCCAATCAAGATCAGCATGGTTATGCTGGTTGACGAGCAGTGATTGCTTCATCCTAGACTTCAGGCAGGCCACACTTAGACAGTAGTCATGTATACCAAGCTTAGGCACAATTACGTTCCAAATACGAGTCGTTCTGCTATTGAAGTTGTCAGGGGGGTCTGCTTGGCTTAGTATAAGGGTGGGTTTCCTACTTGAGCAAGTGAAATTTTCATGGAGGGAAATCGGAGCACGGAATTTCATGATTTTATAGAGCTCAAGGAAACAATGGTAAGTGTACAGGTTTTGGACGGCAAGTATTCCGTGTTCCTTGAACAAAGGTTTCGTGTGCTCTTTCAAGAAAAATTTTTTGTTCAGATTTTGGTTGCCAAACGGTCGAGCACGAGCACAGGTCTTAAATTTATCTAGGTATGCCTCCCTGTCGCCAAACAGTACCCTGAGACAATATTTTTGTGCTTTGAATACAGAACTTATACGAGTTTTGGCTGCCCCACCCCAAACCGTGATACAATAGGAGAGGTGTGATTCAAATAGAGTGTAATACAACTGGCGGTGTAAGAAATCTGGGAGGGAGCAGCGTAGGCGGCAGAGAGTTGATGTTGCATGGCTGAGAGAACGCCTAAGTGATTTTATATGTTCTTCCCAGGTTAGCTTTTCATCGATGACGACTCCCAGAAACTTAGCAGATGCAACTTGTTTTATTGGAAAGTTATCAATGGTTAGAGTATATTCAGAATTATTGTCAGTCTGGGAGGACAATGCTGGTTTAAAGTGAATGAAACAGCATTTAGACAAGTTGACATGGAGTTTGTTTGCTCGCATGTAGGAATATAAACTAGCTAAAAGAGAATTACCATGCATATATGCCTCCTTTTTAGATTTCCCAGTCACAAATTTATTGGTGTCATCAGCGAAGGTGACAAATGATCCCAAACTGGAGCTGTTGGCGATATCATTAATATATAGGAGAAATAAGTGTTGAGTTTTAATACTTTCAACACTACTATATAACAAATAATTTGAGGATGTCAAGTGAGGCCAGGAGCCCAATGTACATGTGTTGCTAAAGAACAAAGATCTGTGGGGGTGTTGCAGGGTGTGTGAAGAGGTGCCACTGTCGGAGATGAAGCTCTAACCGAAGATGAGTAGATCATGGAACACAACCTCATAAATCATCAGATCATCCAAATCCCCTCCCTTACCCCATCCCTTAAAGTCTATGTAACACATGGACTGCCGGCTTCTGGTTGGACACATCCTTGAATTATTTGTATTTTCTGTAGTTTTGGAGAGTATGATCTACTTGATATTGATTTATCGGAAAGTTCTTACACTATTGTTATGATATTGGAGAGTGTCTATATAATGATAATGATAATGATATTGATTAATTTGAGTATGAGTTATTCTTTAGGATTGATTAGATTTTATATATTTATTTACTTGAATCTAGTATGAATATGAATTATTCTCTAAATTGACTTACTTATTGAACTATTCAAGTTTATTGTACCTTGACTCCTAGCCTTTTGTGGCAGGTTTGTCAAACAGACATGCCTGCCACAATGTTTCCTGTTCAAAGGAACCCCCATTTATCTCTACTGTCTTCACTCTGAAGCCTGTAGTTCATCTGCATCCCTCCCCAAACATAATAAATAATCCAAAAGGAACCCTCCACCACCCCCACCCACCCTCCCAAAACAGAACATGAATAGATCCATCCACCACCCCCACCCACCCTCCCCAAACAAAGCATGAATAGATCCATCTACCACCCCCACCCACCCCCCCTATCATGTCACCATATGTCTTATTATTTAATTAATTATTTCATTAAATTACCTTTCAGTTTCAACATGCAAATCAATGAAATTTTCAAGTGTCTCTCAACATCAATTCCCTGGCTTCAACTCATTACCACCAGACCACCACCCATGATCTATATATTTCAGGCGAAGCTGACTCGATGAAAGTGGCACCTCGGAGGCACCTGGCACACCCCCATGATCTTGTTTTCCGTGAATATGGTATTAAAGAAAGACACCAACACCAAGACCGCAGCAACCCCCAACCGTACAGCAAAGGATATAGCAAAGGACCCAGCCAAAAAGGCCCCGAAGAAAGCCACCAAATCAGGAGAAACCTCGAAACCGGACATCAGGTATGATAAATGTCCCTGTGGAACTAGTGATAAAACCTCATGGATTATTGATTGTACCTCTTGCCCTCAAACCTGGCACAGCAATTGTTGTAATCTAAAAGGTATTTCCGAACAGTTTGTTACACAGATAGAGGATTGGCTCTGTCCGCTTTGTTTCAGTGCCCCTGGCGTGACCATCCGTAACAACCAACAGATCGAGACTTTACTTCTCAATATGTCTAATCTGAGGAATAAAAACATTGATCTTGAAGAAACTGTCATGAAAATGGAGGAGAAACTAACTTCGCTGATATCCAACACAAACGATCTCGGAGCTACCACCAAGACCATTTCTGAGAGAATACTCAAGCTAGGAGACATTGAGCTACATATTCAACATCGGACCCTCCAAGAAGGTCAGGTTGATGAGAAACTTAAAACTATGAAAAATCAGATCACTGAGCTTCAGTCTAGTATGGATGACCTTAAGAAATCAACTGCCTCCTCAAGCAGCCCTCAAATCACCCAAGCACCATCAAGCTCTCAGCCCTGGGTCCATCCTAGTCGTGTCACACCACCCACCCACCCACTCACCCACCCACCCACAGCTGTCCCTGAACCCACAACTACCATAGAGCACAATCAGAAAAGCTTCACCGACCTCAAACTAGAATTCATCAATGAAGATACAGCCTCAAATATCACCACATCACTAGAGTCATTGTCATTTGTGTCTGAATCAGGCCGCTCAACTGTTGCATTCGGAGCTCCTTACACGTATACAGGTTCCAAATCTGGTGCCGATGCAACCCCAATCCCCCTGGTGCTTCAGCCGATACTGGAAAAAATCAATGTCCTACAAAAGGAATTATTCTACGAACAGCACCCCACCTTCAAGTCACATCCTGAGAGGCATCCTTCACCTCCTGTCATCAATTCATGTCTCATAAATAGGTACGAAGGCCCTAATAGTTCACTTCCCAGCCACTCAGACGACGAGCCCACTATAGATGTCGAATCATCCATTTTCACACTGTCCCTCGGCCAAGAATGCTCCATCCAGTTCCTTGACAAAAAGTCTGGTGTCAAGTCTGACCTAACATCCACCCACCGATCACTCTATCATATGACAAGAAAATCACAAGACTTTTTCACTCATTCAATTCCAGAAGGTAACGTCACCCAGGACATCAGATATAGCCTCACGTTCAGATCAGTTAACTGGAAGAACAAAAACTCTACAATCTTGATAGGAGATTCAAATACAGGAATGCTCAAGTTTGGGACTAATAAACGTAATACATTTGGTGAACTCATGCCTGGCCTTAAAGAATGGGCGCCTATAATCAACAACATTGACCCTTACAGCTGTCAATCCTACAGCAATGTTGTTATCATGTGCGGGATAAATGATATAAAGCAACCTCAAAGTAACGTCAGAAGTGTATGTAGTTCGCTGTTAACAAAAATAAAAGAAATTAAGCTGCTGAACCCTAAATGTTTTGTTTATGTTTGCCCGCTGCTTCCTACTAAAATTGCTGATTTGAATAGTAAAGTTAACTTGTTTAATGAACTGCTGACGAACGGTCTTACATCTATGAGTTCTGGTGTTCAGAGTGTGCAAGGTTTTAATGGCTTTGCTGATCATTATGGCATGTTGGTCCATCAATTGTCCAAGACAGTTGATCGACAAAACAGGCCTGACACGCTTCACCTTAACGAACTAGGTGCTAGGGTCCTTGCTGGCCTAATTAAACAAACCATATTTTCCAGGCTCCACCGAGGAGTTGATAAACGAAGAGGACCGACTAGCAGAGTTGACGGGAGACCCTTCAGTTCAGTTGCCAGAGGAGGAGGCGGGTACAGTTACCAGGTATGGTAACTTTCTCAAATAAGGAAAAATGCAGTCACTGCCTTAAGAGCTTATGTTTAGGTCAAAAATTTGTTGAATGTTTTAAATGTAATTGCATTATACATGAAAAATGTTTCAAAAACTCTGAAGCAACCGTGATCAACTCAAATTACTTTTGTAGTCAGTGCAAAGCGCTAATCCTTAAACAGTACAACCCGTTTAAAGATATGATTAGTAAGTCGGATAACAATAACAACGACCCCTTGATTCTGAAAATGTCACAAGTTCTAGAATATTGTAAGCCTTACTCCACCAACAAATTTAATAACGAACTTAGTGCCGATCTTCATAAAAATGGTGGCTCTTTCTTCCTGAATATCGACGGCAATAAAAGCAACTTCGACCATCTCATATCTGAATTAGAGTGCCTCAAACACAATTTCCCTATCATAGGCCTTGCCGAAACCAATATTAGCCCAGAAGAGAGTTCCGTTTACCCTATTAATGGATTCAATAGTTTCTACCAGACTACAATGCATAACAAATCGAAAGGAACGGGCGTTGCAGTTTATGTTCACAATGCTTTTAATGCAGTCGTTAATGTAGATGTATCAAACGTCACCAGTAATTTAGAAAGCCTCTTTGTGACTATTCATCAAGAATCTAAAACTATAAACGTAGGAGTAATCTATAGACCCCCTAGTGGAGACATTGACGAGTTTCTCGCTGAGCTACAAGTAATTATGGGTAAACTCCCAAAGTTAAATGTACATGTAATGGGTGATTTTAATATTAACCTCCATAACGGCAATAGAAGATGCACACAAGAATTAGAAAACATAATGCTCGGATTAGGGTACTCACCAACGATATCTATCCAAACACACGAAAAGCCTGGATGTAAACCATCCTGTATTGATAATATTTTCACTAATGAAATCGAAAGCACGTTGTTTACAGGAACGTTGCAACTCAATGTTTCTCACCACCATGCCATCTTTCAAATCAATAGTTGTCTTAATTTTGTAGCTGATGAACCTAAACTTAAACACGCACAATATTACGACTATAGCACCTCAAATGTAGACGCCTTTCTCACATCAATTGATAATGAACTACATACCAATCCTCCTGAAAACTTCAGTAGTTTCTGCACTACTTTTCAGAAGCACCTAGACGAGGCATTCAAACTTGACAAACCGAAATTATCTAAACGTAACGCTTTGAACAACCCATGGATTACTAGTGGTATTGTTACCTCAATTCGAACGAAAGACTCGCTCTATGATTTGTGGAAAAAGTCTCAGAAGAAAAAATGTTTATTGCTAACTAATAATAATAATATTAAACGCGAGGAGTGTAATTGCCTCACTTGTATGAATATAGCAAAAAGATACCTTGAATATAAGGATTACAGGAAGCATCTCAAGGTACTTATTGACCGTGTCAAGAAGAATCATTATGCAGGTAAATTAACTGACTGCTCTGGTGATAGTAAGAAAACGTGGGAAATCATAAACACTATTCGTGGAAAATCCAGGCGCGAAATAAAGCCATGTTTTATCCTTAACGATCAAAAAATAATAAATCGTAGGATGATTGCTAATGAATTCAATAAATATTTTCAGTCGATTGCATCCAAACTAAATGAAAATTATTCTGAAGATTATATAACCCTGGATGCAATTCCCTCATTCTCAAACTTCTTACCTAAAACCTGTGAGTCAAGTATATATCTAAGTGATTGTACACAGTATGAAATTATAGATATTATTAATGAGTTCACAAATGGTAAATCTAGTGACATTCCAATTCACGTTATAAAAAAGTCTGCTAGAATAATATCTCCCTTTTTAGCCAAGCACTTTAACCATTGCATGCAACAGGGGATATTCCCAGATGAACTTAAATTAGGAAAGATAAGTCCCATCTATAAAAAAGATAATCAGGAACTATTTGAAAACTATAGGCCAATATCAACCTTACCAGTATTTGGAAAAATTTTAGAGAAACTTATTTATAAACGTATGTACAG